GAGGTGGGGGCCATCAGGCTGTTTTAAGACACTTTCCCGGGGTGTCTGAGCTCTGTGCGTAAATGCCTCATTGCCCCCATGACAGGAAGCTCCCTGCGGTTTGACACGTGTCGAACCTTCAGCATGAAGCGACCCCTCTACACCTCGCTGTCCTCTCACCGTAGGGAGTCACACTCTCCTTGACTTTTTCACCCCAAAATGATGTGAATTCCGGATGCCTTAAATTTAGGGTTCTTGTGGTTTTCTGCTGACACGCATAATGACCGTGCTCAGTCTGCCCCACCTTTACTCCAACATCCTCTACAATTTCATCACAGGGGAGAACCAAAGAAATTCTTTTATCAAAATCTGCCAGCTCTGCGCATAGGAAACAGGCCCTGTTACTGGCGTTGACCTTCCTGGTTATTTATCGTTATTGGTCGGCGTTGGAAGTTCAGCGCTCGAGGAACCCAAGAACGTTCCACCAACGATCAGATACGTCGACGGACAGATGAAGAACGCCAAATGCTGCTACAGGCTCTGAAGAAACCACTCAGGCGTGGAAAACATTACAGAATAAAAGAGAATGTAACTGACAGACGTATGTAATATACACCAGGATTACAGAACCGTTATTTTTAAAATCGTAATCACAGTATTTCAGGCAGTCTTAGTGAACCTATAGGCACTACCTTTATGGTTTGAGGGAAGACTGAGCAAATAATGCACACCCTGAGGGGCTGAGGCTCTCTGGGGCCTGCAGAGAATTATTATTCATTTATAGTGCTCCAGAATGTTCAGGCAGACGGGAGCTATGCACCGGGGGGCAGGAGGGAAAGCAGAGGGGGCCCCTTCGCGACAACGCGAGCGTCTTGCATGAGGGACAGGTTAATAAAGGCTGAGCATGCTCTGAGGTCAGCAGTCATTAGCCCTGATAAGATCACAGCCCCTGTGCCTGCAGTGACCGCTTCAATGTGGCTCTCTGGCACCCCCAAAATACTGTCAGGATGTGTTGGGAACTGCAGCCTGAGTAGCAATTGTTTTCTTTTGTGGGAATGACTTTTACTAAGCATTTTTTAAATCCAAATGTAATTTAACAAAACAAAAAATAAAAATACATATTAAAGATGCAAAGAATGAATTTATTTACACTGCAATTAGCATTTATTTTCAGGAATTTAAACATAACAGGTATGTCATCTGCCAGTCAAAATATACAGAAACAACTGAATTTACACACCCAGGATAATGCTATGAGTACAATATGGGTACAGTACAGTACGATGCAGGTTCAGTACAGTACGATGCAGGTACAGTACAGTACGATGCAGGTACAGTACAGTACGATGCAGGTTCAGTACGATGTGGATACAGTAAGAAAAATTCGCAAGTCTGCATAAGATCTTCAAACAGCAGGAACTAAAACCACATTAGACACTGATTGCTTTTTGTTGCTGAAATAAAGACAGTTTAATGAGAACATCTGGAATGCTATTCGGTAATCACTCAACACTTTTGAAAAAAAAGAAAAAAAGCAGCGTCTTAAAATCCTGCTCAAGTCTCAGTTCAAAAGCTACACGAGGGTCAACGTTGGCTAATTGTCTTAATTAGTAACAGAAGGCCTCGTGTCCTTATGGAATCTGACTCACGTAACATAATCAAGCGGCCTTTCAGGTCTGGAGGGACGGATGATGGGTACAAAGCTTTGATTATCTGGAAATACGGGACTGAAACACGTTCCGTTCAGAGTCCCATGAGGTCGGCAGACCTTCCTGGCCTGCTGAGAGTCACAGTAGGTATATACAGCTATATACGGCCATCTTCATCTCGCCTCCATTCATCAGAACCCAACCTGGCACCAACAACCAGCCAGCGGCTCGGCCAAAGGACACAGCCAGTAAGACAAGGCAAGAGGACCCAGAACACGAGGACCCGGAACCATCTCAGAACCGGCCCGCTTAGCGAAGCTTAACCAGCAAACTTTGCACGCAGGGATCCGGTCTGGGTGAACTCAGGCAGAGTTACCTCATCGTAACATCGTAACCGTAGCAACACACACAGCGACAATGATAACCCAGCCTGGAATTCTGGCACGGTGCCTTTGCCCATGTCCAGGCAGGAAGGCCCAGGCATACGGAACACAGAGCTCCGTTCCCGTCCGCTGGAGAACCCTTCCGATGGGGTTCGCGATCAGGGCAGCAGCTTGTCACCACCACCAATGGCCGAGAGCCTGACCGACTCGGAGAACGCGGCTCAGCTGGACCCCCGGAACAGGCTCACACATCCACCTAGATATTTTTAAATCACCTTTGCTGTCATACTTCCATATTATGTTTTCATTCCACCCACCAACGCCAGCCCTGGTCCTGTCATCGGACACTGACGGTCACATGATAATGCTGGGGTCACATGGTTGGCGGGGGGGGGGGCAGAGCCGCACTCAGGGCTACAAAATGGGACAAGAGACGGCCAAACAGAAACTAAAGGAAAACAAACATGCTTGCTCCTGCATCCAAGGTCACACGAACTGTCACACTTCATGTGGATAAGGGG